AAAATTTGAAAAATTTGAAACGATTTGCATTCAATTGCCGTAATCATCGATACAACGTTACACATCCGACTAGCACTTTTGAGCTGAGTATATCACCGACGAAATACTTAAAGACGATAAATACTTATGGAAGTTCGCGTGACTGTTAAAATTTAAGTGATGAAGCGTAAGAAACTGATAATGATGGTACTAATTTCATGATTTATTAGTTTCATAGATATATACGAGTATATATGTTTAACAATACTTGACTTTTATTTAAAATTGTGATTTTAATGTTATGATCTGAGTTTAATTATCAACAGAGATGATAATTGCAGAGAAAAAATTATAATTTTTTGGCACTATATAAGATATTATAGCATTAAAACTTATTTATACAGCATATATTTAATAAAAAAATCATTAATTTAATAATAAATATCGAAGTATTTATGTCAATAATCGTAAATTTTTATTAATTGTCGGCAATGTCATTATTCTTCAATTCATTATCCCCGAGTCCTCGGCGTCCCACTGATAATCACGAAAATATATCTAGGGCCGATAGTACGTTTTTAATATTATATTATTCATAGTATCTCATCGGATGTATAGTCTATAGAGTTGTATCGACAATTACGGCAATTGATGCAATTCGGTCCAAATCGGTTTTCAAATTTTCAGTGTTAATAAATAATTTAATTCTTTCAAGATCATGAGATTACCGCGACAACAAAGAATATGTAATTAAAAGGGTTAAATTATTTATTAATACTGAAAATAAGTGAATTAATTTGCTACGTTTGTGTCAAGATGTATCAAGCAATTTGAAAGCACGCACTCATGTAAGACTGCCTTTTAATACAGTTTGCACATGTCTATCATTGTACATACTTGACTGTGTCTCAAGGGGCGGTAACAAATTGCTTGAACGCCTTGTTCACGATAGTCTACGAATCCTAGGAGCGACCCCCACTCAGTGATGTCAGATCCGTCTCGTTTACGGCATGGAGAGGGTACGGCGGCAAAGCTCCATGAACACAAAAGCATGAGTCCATGTCCGTGTGCGGTTGCAATTCGGTCAGCTTTGAATGATAGATGAGAGCGGTATTTCTCGCTAGGCATTTATTTCAAACAATTGAAAATGCTTCCTCGACTGCTCAACGTGTATCGGTAAAGAAACAATTCGGATAATGTGTAACTTTTAATTTATTATAATCATATGTCCCTCCCATTAATCCTAAATAATATAAATAATGTTAAAACGCGATAATTTACGAGATATTAATTGTTAACGATTTTCTGTGAATGTTATATACTGTGTTTATAAACCTGATTC